CTGCACCCCTCCGCCCACTCCCCGCTCAGCCACGCCTCCTACGCTGCACCGCCCCCGCCCCAAGTCCAACCAAGCCAGGAAGTCGGCCCGGTCCCGCCCCACCCTCGCGCGTGGTCGGGGCGGGGTTCGGGCCGCAACATACTCTGCCCTGCATTCCCTGCGGTCCTAGAGCCCGCGCGTAATCTGAGCCCTGGCTGGGAGGGGACAGTAGAGCCGAGGTAAACCCTGCCCATCGTTGGTGCCGAAACCGAAAAGCAGGGCGCTTAACTGGGTGATTTCAGGGTGTGGTGAGGTGAAAACCGCTTCTATACGGGTAACCTTAAGAATACAATCTCCAAAGCGCTTTCCAGAATGCAAGGGAGTTTTTTTTGCTTTGTTTTAAAATTATATTGGGTAATTACCTGGGTCAGAGTCCCGTAACTCCGAGAAAGACAAATTTAGTAACTAGGAAGTGGCAAAGTTAGAACTTAGCTCTTTGAACTAAGAGTAAAGATAAGAAGGAGGGGTGGGGAGGACCTGCCTTTCTGGCTCTTGTTGGCTTTGAACTGAGAATATGTTTATAAATATAGAATCTAAATATATTTGTTCTAGACAGCAGGAACTACAAAAAAGGAAAGATCTCAACCCAGCAGCGAGAATGATGCAGGAAGTCCAGCAAGTGCGAAAAATGCCCTATGAGAAGCAGTGTTAGCTAGGGGGCTGTTTCCTCTTTTCTATTTTTACAAACCTCATACTTACACCCTGTACATCATAGCTGGCAGCTGAGCTTCACTTCTGCCTAGTTGAGAAAGTAGTTTAAGTGAGTTTAATGACTTTGTCGTCTTGGGAAACTGATGATACTCGGTGGGTGCATTAGAGTGATGTAGTGCTTTCCTGGAGTGGACCCCACCATCTCTGTGGGGCTAAAGTCTTGAATTTAGACAGGGTTCACAGGATAAAAGTATTCTGCCAGATAAGCAATCAAACAACATTTAGGTGGGGGAAAATTACTTTTGTTACACAAATGTGGTTTCCATAGTGATTTCCATTCTAAGCTTGTTGGGCAGAAAATTTTCAGCTTGAAGATAGATAGCCAAGTCCCAAAGTACTCAGCTTGGTTCTTCAGGTACCTAGGGAAGCTGGACCTCCTCTTGGCCCCAACACTCAAGCCAGTGCCTATGGCCTTCTCTTAAGCACCTTGCAATACCCACCTTAATGTTGACTGTATACAATGCACTTCTATACAGAGTTACATCTTACATTGAAGGGCCTCCCTGGATCTCCTTTGTGTGCTTCATGCCCCAGATCTGTCTTGTCTATCTTCATAAATGTCCATGGTCAGCCTTTCCTTCCCACCTGGTGTTCCTGTCCAAGGAGAACAATAAACCCCAAAACCATAAGAACCTTGTCAAGTTGACTGATTCATGGCAATCCCATGTGTTTTGGAGTGGAGCTGCACTACTTTATATATGTATATGTATATATGTATATGTATATGTATATGTATATGTATATGTATATGTATATGTATATGTATATGTATATGATACAGGCCATGGTCTTTGCAATCACTTGCTATGTGGATCAGAGAGTTGGACAATGACTAGGGAGGATAGAAGGAGAATTTATGCCTTTGAGCTGTGGTGCTGGAGAAGAGTTTTGAGTGTACCATGGACTGCTAAGAAAACAAAAAGGTTCATCCTGGAGAGGGTTAAATCAGGCTTCTCCTTGGAGGCAAGGATTCTGAAGCTTCATCTGACATACTTTGGACATGTTGCAAAGAGGGACAAGTCCTTGGAGAGGAACGTCATGCTTAGGAGGGTGGAGGGAAAGCGCAGGAGGGGAAGGCCCTCTATGAGGTGGATTGATTCAGTGACTGGGGTATTAGGGGTGGGTGTGTCAGAGACGGTGCGACAGGCACAGGACAGAGCAGGGTTTAGGGCTGTTGTACATAGGGTCGCTATGAGTCGCAGGCAACTCAACGTCACATAACAACAACAACAATATATAGATCATTCAGGAGGCTGGGCTTTATGAAAAAGAATGTGGCGTCAGAACTGGAGGAAGACTCATCAACCGACGTTATGGAGATGATACAACTCTGCTTGCTGAAACTGAGGAGGATGAGAAGTGCTTGCTGCAGAAGGTCAAGGACTGTAGTGTTCAATACCAATGGAAGCTCATCATCAAGAAAGCAAAGATTCTCACCACTGGGCCAATTGGCAGAACCATGATAGATGGAGAATAAATTGCAATTGACAACAATTACAGCTTGCTCAGCTCAGCAATCAACATTCTTGCCACCAGCAATCAGGAAATCAAAAGATGAATCTCACTGGCAAAGTCTGCTGTCAGGGACTTCTCCAGAGTACTGAGGAGCAGCAGCAGTGTCAGTCTAGAGACCAAGGTGTTCCTAATCCAAGCCATGAGCTTCAAAGTTACATTGCTATGCATCAGAGAGCTTGACAGTGACTAAGGATGACAAAGAAAAATTAATGCCTTTGAGTTGTGGTGCTGGAGAAGAGTCTTTGTTTTCTTGGCAGTCCATGGTATATACATTCAAGACTCTAAACCCATTGCCTTCAAGATGGCTTTGACTCCTAGGGATCTCATCTGAGTAGAACTTCCCAGAGGTCATAATTTGTGTGAGAGTAAACTGTTCCCTCTTCATTCCAAGAGCAGCTGGTGAGCTTAGTACTTTAACCACTATAGCACCAGGCCTCCCACGTCAGGACCAAACCCAGTTGTTACCAAGTTCTGTCTTAAATTCTGACTCATAACTCCATCTTTCTCCCTCAGAGTGGCATGATGGGTTTGAACCATGTACCTTTTGGTTAGCAGACTAATGTGGAGGTAGCTGGTAGATGTTCTGGCCATGTAAATGAGCGGGTGATGTCACAGACCCTGACTGCAGAAGGTCACATTGCACTGCCTCCCAGACTCAGAATGAATGAGAGGAAAGAACAGAGGGTTTGAACTGTTTGCTGAGTGCTGTGCAGGGAGCTTTTGCACCATGTGGTTAAGGATAAGATTTGGCTTAAACTCCACACTTAGAACCAAGAGCCCTTTTGTCAAGTCAATTTCAACTCCTGTTAACCCTGTGTGACAGTAGAACTGCTCCACAGGGGTTTGGGGTTTCTAGACTGTGATCTATACCAGTCACTGCTTCCTCACTCCCACCCCCCCAGGAAGTAGATTACCAGGTAGAGGTGATCAAGGAAAGGAAGATACTTAACAAGATTACTTGACACAGTGACTGCCACAATGGGCTTAAGCGTGGTGGAGATGATGGCACAGGAAAAGGCAAGGTTCTGTGGTTCATACAGTCACTATGAGTCTTAGCCGACTTCATGACAATTAACAGCTAATAGATCACCAGGCCTTTCTTCCTACTCTCTCAGTCTGAAAGCTCCGCTGAAACCTATCTATCGTGGCTATCCCTGCTGGTATTTGCAACATCTGTGGCTAAAGCTTCCAGCATCACAGCACACAAAGCCATCACCATACAAAAGATTAACAGATGGTGCAGGATGAGATGCGAAAACAAAGAGGTTGCCACAGTGGGCTCAGCTATAAACAACAGTCATGAGGATGGGGCAGGCAGGTCCCATCAGAAATGACTCTACAACACCTAACAAAAACAATCTCTTTGAAGCAGAGCACCAGGTCTTTCTCTCTGGGGAGCCACTGGGTAACTCTGAACCTCCCTCCTATCAGAAGTTTAGTGTTTGTGCTACAGGATGCTTTAATTTAAGCCTGGAAAGAAATTTTTACCTGCAGCTTCATCAGCTTGTCCAAGAGTTCCATTGTACCCAAAGAGGATCAGAAGCTCTTTCTTTATACTTGAGATTTAAGCTACCAGCTGCTAACTGAAAGGCTACTGGTTTGAATCCACCTGGCTATTTTATGGGAAAAAGACTAGCAATTGGTGTCTATAGATACTGCATCCAGGAAAACCCCATGGGGAAGTTCTACTCTAGCACATGGAGTGAGCATGAGTAGGAGTCAACTTGTAAACCCCTAAGAAGGTGGTGAGGAGGGGGGGATGAGGTGAGTGGGGAGAAAAGTGCAACAATGAATGAATGGAATTCCAAAATCTCTGTAGATGTTCATTGAAAT